GAAATGTTTTTAATCTGATAAAAAATATATAATTAGCCATCCTAAAACCATTTTAACCGTTGTTTTACATAAAAAAATGTCAAGCTTAAGATTTTGCGACGGTTATCACGTCTTGTGAATCCTCTTATTATTGTAGTTATTGGTTATTTTTTTAAATATAGTTCATTCTTTAACAAGACCCGTGTAACTCCAAGTTTCCAACTTTGTTCCATATTAAAAAAAAACAAAATTCTAGCTTTTTTAATTAGATTTCCATTGAATTCTAGTAGAACAAAGTACAAGTTTCAAACGACTAAAAATTACGGTAGATTTTTAGAATTTTTTTGTCATATTTGCTTCCATGTAACAAAATACACAAAATTTATTTCTATATGGATGAAACCCGTAACATCTTCCTACAAAAAAAAAAAAAAAAAATCAACGGTAATTTTTAGCCATTTGAAACTTGCACTTTATTCTAATAGAATTCAATGTGTTAAAAGACTGCATACTCCGAATCTTTCTAGGAAATCCAAAAGCTAGAAATTTTAAATAAAGTTTTTTTAATATTGCACAAAGTCTGAAATTCGGATTAACACGGGTTTTGTTAAAGAATGAACTATATTAAAAAAAAATTACCAAAATTAAATAACAACAAATATAATATGTTAAAACTTATCAAAATATGGTGCGGCTATAATTATTTCAACCATTGTATATACATATGTATGTATTAGACTGTGTCAATTAAAACGAATTGTTTTTTCTTTCGGTCCCATATCAAAGTTTCGTTGTCAGTTACAAAAAAATAATGTGAGCAAAATTTCAGCCCTCTATCTTCATTTTTCAGTTAGAGCTCGCAAAAATAAGAATTTGCAATGAAAACATTTTTGTACCGCATTCGTTGTACTTGACACAGTCTAATACATATGGGCATTCCCATGGTGGCGCACGTGACAGTCGTACGATTTCAATGTGATACAAAAAAGGAATACCATTTGTTTTCTTTAACTTTTTTGGGCCATTGTATAGCACATAATTAGCTCTATATTTAACCGAAAAATGAAATCAATCGAACTGCTTGGTCCTGAAATATAAGCATTTAAAGAGAGGTTCGTTACGTGACAAAAAATGGAAGTTGATTTCTTCTTTTCTTACAAAATCGCAATACTCTGCGAATTGTAGATGGCTATTTTCATGAAACTATTTTTAATATGATTTGGAGCAATTCTAGTTGTTTTTAGAGTTTTTTGAATTAATGCAAATTGTTTCAGTTCTCTTTTACAACCCCAAGTGTGAAACGTGACGTGACGTGGCGTCACGTGACATAAATTTCCATCGTTATATTTTTGTTAATATTGCTTTTAAATGAATTTTCAACGCAAATAAAACATGTATTTTATGTAGAATATACTTTATACTTTGACTTCAGCGCCAATTCAGGGTCAGTTTATTAGAAATCTATGATTTATTATGTTTGAACCACATACGCCAAATTCGAAACAAATCGGGCCATAAATACGGTTTTTCGAAATATCTCGACCTTGGCACCACCTAGGAAGACCATTTTATGCAAACATGATTATACTTACATAGCCAGTATATATTTTAAAAAGCAGACAAATCGACCCGTAAATACGTTAGATATAAAACTTTTATTTTTTTTGTCGTGGTGGACCTTCCCCTGGAAACACCCATATAATATGTATGTGTGTATATATTTTAAAAGCCTTATTTTTGAAGTTTTTATGAGTTCCTTTTAGTTTATTTAATGTATTTAATTTATTTATTGAATAAATAAATTAAATAATTAAATATAATAAATAAAATAAATTTTATTGGTCTTTTCACAAAAGAGGTGACGATTGAATGTGCATTTTCCATGCTGAAGCTAATACGAACGGACTCCAGGAATCGTTTAAGTGAGGAAACTTTGGAAAACATATTGCTAGTAAAGCTGAATCCGAACTTCCTCGAAGCTGCTATAGACAATCTGTCACTCTTTCAACACCCGGATGAGGAACAAGATTAATTGTTTATTGCATTTTTTAATTTTTTTAAGTAATTAAATTTAAATACATAAACGTAAAAATCTTGCTTTCTATTTTCGAATTCTTGAAAAACAACATTTTTTCTAGCAGCCATAAAGTAAAATGGAAATACAACAAAGTACCAAAAAGATATAAAAAAACCTAAATTTGCTACACAAAAAACCTTGATTTTTCTGCATTTTACAAAAGACAAGTTACTTGTTTTTGTCCTATCACAGGATATACTCATGTCCGCTCCGTTGCTTCTGCTTTCACATTTTTCATCATGCAAACATCAGCAAAATTCATTTGTTGAGAAAGCATCGAGTTTGTACTGAAAAGCAAACGATGGTTTGCTTCTTAGCATGTTACGTGTTGCTGCTGTGGCTATTCGTATTTTTCAAATATGACAGCAGAAGCAACTGACGAGCTGCCAAAGCCGATCAATTGCTTTTACTTTTGTTTTCGTGCTTTTCAATATGCAAGCAAAAGCAAAATTCATTTGCTGATAAGTATCGAGTTCGAGCCGGAAAGCGAATGATAGTTTGCTTCTCACCTCTTATCGTGCTGCTAAACAAACGATCGTTTGCCTCTCAGCTCTTCTCGTGCTACTGGTGTGGCTATTCGTTTTTGTTGAAGACAAGGGAAAAGCAAGAATATTGCCTTTGAAGCAAGACAACTTCAGAAGCACAGCATCAGCATATTTTCGTTGCTTTTGCTAATATTGCTTAAGCATTTCAAACCCTGGGAAAAACATCAAAAACGCTACGAAAACTTTTTTCTGAAATTCGATTAAAAATAAAACGATGGCGGATTGCGTGATCTGTAGCAGTGTTGCCGCGAATTATTTTTAGTGGTAGCCAAATTCCTTTAAAAAAAGGGCTAAAAAAAGTCGTTGTGGCTAAAATTGGTAGCTAAAATTTTTTACTTACAAATACATATATAAGCATATATGCAAACATTTTCACACACACTGCTTTGGCTCATATAGTGGAAGAAATTTCCGCCAAAATACTTTTTGCGTACGAGCTATTTAATAATTACAGCAGTACAGCAACTCTGTTGCCTGTTTGACACTTTGTTGCTGATACTCAGCTGATGTTTTGCAGAGCAGTTGCACAGGTTAATTTCACAAAGTACCATTCGAATTAAAAATGGAAATAACTTTAATAATAGACGAGATTGAGAAAAGTGGAGACAATTTTTTATTAAATATTGCAAGGAGAAGAAGAATCGCAATCGCAAAGAGGAATCTTCTGTTAAAAGAAATCCTAAGAAGGAGACGAGTTACAAAAATCCAAAATTTTTTTAACACAATTGAGCTATATGATGGCGACGTATTCTTCTCCCACTTCCGCATGACCCGTAACACATTTGCTGTAAGTATAATAATTAAAAAAGCTTTTGGTTTCTGTTATAATCAATGTTTTTAATTTGCTTAGAAACTAATGAATGCTCTACAGCCTTTCTGGTCAATGTTGGACACGCATTATACATTGAAACAGTCCCTGTACCTATTTTTGTGGAAGCTGAGCAACAGCCGAATTACATATCGATAGCTCTCAGATCGATTCAACGTAGGAAAGGGGACAGCTGACAAACTTTTTTTTCAAAACCATTGAAGAAGTATGCTGCCTTAGAAATGAAATTTGTTGGCTTACGGTTGCCAAACAGCAGGACGTTATGGAATGATTTCAGGCGAAAAGACCAAACTCGATCCCCTTTGTTGTTGGATGTGTGGATAGAATCCACTTCATAATAAATACCCCGAATAACGACGCAATCAGCTAATACGATCGCAAGGGACACTTTTCAATAATAATGCAGGTAGAAGAATTTATACAGTCTGGTCTGGTTTAGTGCATATGTAAATCTTTTAACTTATTTTGTCGCTTTAGGCTATATGCGATAGCAATCTTCGATTTTTGGATATCTTTATTGGCTATCCTGGAAGTTGCCACGACGCCAACGTTTGGAAAAATAGCCCAATTTATCAAAAGATCTCGTCGGGCGAAGTTCAGCTTGCTAGCGGGGCCATAATATTAGCAGACTCCCCTTATCCGCTAACAAAATATTTAATGGTCCCATATAGGGATAATGGGCATCTTTCTACGGAAGAGAAACGATTTAACTACTACCTTAGTTCCACACGAGTATTAATAGAGCAGGCTTTCGGCGTTTTGAGACAAAAATTTAGAATATTAAATCACATCGATGTATCATCTATAAAGGATGCTTCAAAAATTGTAATGGCCTGTACTATACTACACAAATTTATAATAGAGCATGACGGCGATCTAAGTTCAATGGATTCTTTGGAAAACAATTTAGAACAAAATATATCTGACAATGCTGGCGCAATAGAAGTTATCGAAAACATTAACGAGAATAGGGAAGGAATTATAAGAAGAAACGAAATAAAAATGTTATTTTCATCGTAAAGTTTTCGTTTATTAATTAATAAAAAAAGATTAACAAAACAAATGCTTATAGCATAAACATTAATTGATTTGAGATCATAAGTTTGAGTTCAGTAGTAAGTGTTATATTATTATTATTTTATAATAAAGCATGTTTATGATCGCTTCTCTAAAATTTCCCTTAACGCATTTAGGACGCCAATTTTTTCCTTTCCTATTTCTAACCTCGCTCTCTCCAGCTGTATTAGTTCCTCATGGCGTTTTTGCTCTTGAATAGCCTCTGTCTTTAAATAGAATAATGTTTCGTTCGTTGATTTTCTGGAGCGCTTCCAGCGTAGCTATCCGATTCGCCTTCGCTCTCCTCACATGGGGGACTTGCCAAGGAGGACTCCAAATTTCCACAGGAGGTTGGATTGAACGTCGGCTCCCATCAACAGCATCAAACTCGTCAAAATACTACCAGCTGGTAGCATCCCTTCCTGTTTCTTTGTTCCGCTTCTTTATCCTCTTGTACGATGCCAATAAGTTTAAAAACTTTCTCTGGAGTAGCTCTTTAGAATCCGGAACTTCGGGATTCAAGGCCTTCATGGCCTCTAGGACTTTACCCCAAAGAAATGATTTTTTTTCTTTTTGCCGGCAGCAAATTCAGCCTCCATGTCCAGTCGGCATCGTACCAAAAGTTTATTAGGAGCGGAACCCAGTCTTTCGCTGCAAAAAAGTAAAGAGACATAATAATCAAAACTATTGGCAACCTATCTATATTATAGATCATATGATACGAAATAAATCACAATTATGCTTACCTTTCTTCTTCCATTGTGTTGTGCAAACGAAAATTTTTTGATGCCGGTTATTTCAATAATTTGCGCGCATTAAGTGTCAACAGAACGTGTGACTTTTGCAAGTGTTGCCACATATCCGCGCCGAACGTGATACTTTGGCAAAATTTGCAACACTGCTGCTGTGATTGCCATCTCGAACGCACCCAAAATTTTCAAATAGTTTTTGGAGTCGCACCAGCAGCTGGTACAATCACACCACAAGAACATACACGGTCAGTCGACTTGATGGGCCATTTAATAAATTAAGCATATTAAGGGCCGTAAACTTATCTATTTTAAACTATAGTTAAATCGTTAATAGATAAGTTAACAGCCCTAACACTTTTACAGTATGTATGTATGAAAACGTAAGGTACATAGAATACATATATGTATATATATCAGTCTTTCTAAGTTTAAAAAATAGATCAAATTAAGTATATACAACTTTTTCATGCCAAGTATGAATAAATTCTCCAAAGGGCTAAAAAAGGGCTAGGGGCAATTTTAAATTTATGTGGCCAAAAATAGTATGTGGTAGATAAATCTAGTCACCAAAGGGCTAAAACGGCAACACTGCACTGAACTAGAACAATGTTAGGCACACCAACACAGTCACATTTTGTCGTGGCATTAGTGCGTCGCGCTCAGTTATGGTTGTCACATTTTTATAAATGTATGTACTTGAAAGGGGTATTTTTTCATGCATGGGCCTTTTGGCCTATTTTGGTTATACGTATAGTGAAATAACGAATCTTGGAAGATTTTAGTGACTAATACTATTAGTTTATAGAAACTTTTACATACGAAAAATTTAGTATGTACTTGTAAAATTTAAAAAAATTTAAATTGGTAAAACTCATTTGTTTAATACCTAGGCACCGTTTATTAGAATTATTCTTTAAAATGCTGGCCGGCCAGATGGTTACGGTGTTACGGTGTTTCGATTTTATTATTTTCTTATAAATAGATATTTAATCCTAAATATAGAGTATAACTTACAAATATTATTCATTAAGTATTTTTGGGCATAAACCAGCATTTACATTTCTCTGTCGATTTCTTTAGATAGAAAAAGATTATTCTAAAATATAGTATTCAAGTTGCGCCCTTTTTTATAAAAATCATGGGACTTATTATAAAATTGGCGAACGTTGGTCAGCAAGCAGCCCCTTTTATATTTTTTTTAAATGCACACGGCATGAAAAATACAGTTGGCTTATATTAAAAATACGTGGGAATAACAGCAAAATGGACATTGTGGCTTGTTGAAAGTTCTGTGAACTATAAACTGTAGTTCTTACATAGAGTCGCACTATTTTGTGTTTGCATCGTAGCAAAGGCACGCAAACAACAATCTAAGAACACACCACTTTTTGCTTTGGGTATTGTTTGTAAATTTCCTACGCAAAATGTGGCAAGCGTGTGCTAAAATTACGAGTCGAGCGTGATTTAACTTGTACTTCTGCATACGTATACGAACTGCGGCGCTGGCGTTGCTCGCGAGCAAAAATTGAACCTATGAACTAGAAATGAGAACTTTGAGTTGTACCACTTTAGATCTAGGTGTGCGATATGTGTAAGCGCCAATCTATTAGTAGTAGATAGGTAGAAGGTTAGCTGCGAATAACCAATAAGCAGTCCCAGACCAAGAGCGGCAACTGTTTACAGTACCTCATCTAATCCTAGAGCCCAAAAATTTTAGATCCCCAGGGATTAGCGATTGTATTGATTCGCCACTTGGCCAGTATTGGCCCAGGTACCTCTCCCGTCTTCTCGCGACCGCCTCGCATTCGCTAAGCAGGTGCACAGGAGTCTCCTCAGTCACATCGCAGAAACAACATAGGTCGTTTGACCAGATCCCTAGCTTGTGTAAGTGGCCCCTCAGTCTACAGTGACCCGTCAGAAAACCTGTTATCCTTAACTTTCCTTTGGAGAGATTAATAATTGCCCTGTACCTCGTAAGGTTGTAACCTCCTAGTAGGTGTTTTGCTTGACGTAGACCTGTAGTGTTACGCCAATGTTGATTCCTTAGCATGTTCCTTTCTTTCCTGAGCTCTTCCTTGATTGTGCTAGGTCCAATCGCTATGAAGGGCTCAGGCCCTATAGGCGACGAGTCGGCCGCTATTCTAGCAAGTCGGTACGCTTCCTCGTTGCCCGCAACTCCTATGTGACCTGGTACCCAAGTTAATTGGATGTCGTTTTGCTCCGCCAGCTTATCTCTGTTCCTTAATGATAGGGTTTTGCCCCTGCCGAAGCCCTCTTTCGCGAAATTTAGTAGAGTTCGCTTTGCAACCTGTTCTATGGTAATGTGCAGCGGCTCGAGCTCAAGAATCACCTCCATCGCTGCCGTCGGACATGTGCGCATTGCCCCCGTGATGCATACACATGCCAGACGTTGAAGCTTGGTGAGGGATTGCCTCACCGTAGTGAGGTGAGGTGACTATTGGTCTAACTATCATGGTATACATCCATCTCAGGATCGTGGGACTACAGCCCCAGGTCTTCCCTGCCAGACGTTTGCATACCATTAGTGCCCTCGTAGCTTTAGAAGTGACCGCGTCAAAATGTGCCTTCCACAGAAGTTTAGAATCTAGTGTTAGTCCCAGGTACTTAACTTCGGTGGCGACGTTGATGGCGACCCCGTTCAAAGAGATGTTCCTCATGTGATTATTTGGATATTGGGCTGGCGAGAGCAGTATTCCGCCACTTTAGTATGTGAGGGGGACACCTCACAGAAATGGCTGGTGGGCTAATGCTGCAATCGCCTCCGTCTCGTTAAAAACCTGGCAGGTCTTCAACTACGTTCAATACACGTCACCATTTAGTTGGCCGCACAGGTCCAGTTGAGATTTACTCCTGGTTTTGCGCTGTCTTGGCTCTGAACACAATATCCCATAAGGACTTGTGACAACTCTCGCGATGGCCTGCTCCTTTGAGAGAAGGGAACTTCGGGACACTTACTACTCGGACTGTGCTACGTGTGGAGATAGCGGCTTGAAGCGGAGACCAAATCGATTTTAAAGGAATAAATTAAAATTAAAACAAGCAAACGAAACCGACGTTGATGTTCTGGAGGAAGAATGCAGCGCATTCAGGAAGAGCAGTAGAGTTGTGCGATCCCCGCAACAAACTCCTCTGCATGCAAATGCCGGCACCACGAGCACGGAGAAAGCCGCCGACGTGGCGCAGAAGGCTACACCTTGCCAAACGACAACTCCCGGCAGCCGGGATAGTCGTCTTCAAATACCAGCTGCTGCAAACAGTGACAAGCATGTCACCGCAAGCTTGGGAACTTGCGAAGGCATTGAAGATGAGCAGTTGGCCCAGATTCGGCTCGTCTTGAAGAAGATGCAGATTGCTGTCTACAAGCAGAAAAATGTGTCTATGGACATAAAAACGGGTATGACCCAAATCGAGAAGAGCTTAAATATACTAAGCTACATCCGAGAGCACCGCCGGAAGGGTTCTACCCTTTCCGAGCTGCGGAAAACTGGCCCTGGCCCGCAAAAGAGAGGTCGAACTCGATCCGACTCCCCTACAGGCGAGCCGGAAAAGAAAAAAATACTAATTATAATAATAATAGTAGTAATAATATTATTATTAATAATGAAAATTATAATAATAATGCTAATAATAATAATAGCAATAATGCGCAGAAAACGGTACCAGATAACCAATGGAAAATGGTTGGAAAACGTAGAAAGCCCAAGCCAGGGCGAGCGCCAGGTGAGCCCTTGGTCAATAAGGGCGAGGCGACCAGCCGCAAAAAAAGAAGAGGGTGAGAAAAAAGAAGTCTCGCCAAACTAATCATTAAGCCAGCTGAAGGCAAAACGTATGCAGAGGTGCTGGGAACGATATGTGGTAAGCTCCAACCTGAGAAGACGGAGAACGTAATTCGATCTGTTCGGAAAACCCGCGAAGGCGGCGTGCTTATCGAAATGGAGCGCTGTGGCGACCACTCAGCATTTAAGAAAAATGTGTGCACTGCCATTGGCCAGCTTGGAGACGCCCGTATTCTCACTAGACGTTTACGCCTAGAAGTTCTGGGCATGGACTGCCTAACCACGGCCCCAGAAGTGGAGAACGCTATACGTAGGGAATTTGGAGACAAGATGAATGGCCAACTTCGCATCTCTCTCCTCGCTGTAAACTCGCGAGAACAAAGAATGGCCGTGGTGGAAATCGACGAACTGCCAG